CCTACAATAGAACTTCCTCCCTTACAGATAATCCTCGCAGCTTCTCTCTTCCCTTTTGCTTAGTCTTTCACAAAACCAGCAACTTAAGAGGATGGAGTAAAGTCTTAGGTATTTATATGGTGCCTATCACCTAGGCATTCAAGCACTGAGTAGAGAGAGAAAACTAATGTAAAGAGGTAAGCATTAATACAAGAAAAGATGCTTACTATCACAAACGTTTCCCTTTAAATCATTGTACAAAATACAAAAGTTCACATTGTACATTGGATTTTGTTTGGAAGGTACTCAATCTGCTGGAGGTAGAAAGTGGTTTGTTGCGACTGTCTCGCAAATAGGCCAGAGTTCTATCTTAAGTATTTCAGAATGTGTCCTTTTAAAACCATGAAAGTATTACTGAACTTGTCACAGGGAGATTTTTTCATAAATATTTTCAAAACGTCGTATTTATAAATATGTATGCTAAATAAAACCAGATGGAGGAACAGTTCAACAGTCCTAGCCTCATATTGCTTTTTCTCTATCAGAAACAAGCCAAAAGAGTTCGCAAATGGTTGCGGGGCAAATTCGGTTTGAACTTCTAAAAAATAAAAAAAATGCAGTTTTTTTGCCCTGTATCTTGTACTCTGATGATAAAAAAGGGACTCTGTACAACATGCTGTATTTATACACCAGTTCTATGGAAGTCTGTATTCCTTAAGTGCTGCATGTCAGTGAGCAATTTCACCTTTCATCTGAGATCCTCTTGTTCCTTGACTCAGGAGCTTCAAACAAACATGAATATTTACACTATTTACAAATGGAGTGTCCAAGCTCAGTGGCATAAAGTGTCCTGTAAGAATCACATAAGCTGCGGTGATCCAAGTTCAGAACCTGAACAAGTTGATAAACTCTTGCGGTGAAAGAGAGGTGGAGCAAGTCTCTGGGTTGTTGGCTGTGCAGGGGTGATCAGTACCCTGGGAAAGGAGAAAACTCCATTTAGAGACACTGCAGAAAGGGCACCAAAGCATCAGCCAGCTTAGCACTGCCCCTCTGCCAGACAGAGAATCTCAGAATTGTACGGGTTGGAATGGACCTTACAGATCTAGTCCCAACCCCCTGCCCTCGGCAGAGACACCTCCCACCAGACCAGATTGCTCAAGGCTTCATCCAGCCCCAGCCAGGGTTGGGGCATCCACTACCTCCCTGGGCAACCTGTGCCAGTGTCTCACCACCCTCACAGTACACAACTTTTCTAATACCTAACCTCAACTTCCCCTCCTTCAGTTTGAACCTGTTACCCCTTGTCCTACCATTGCAGTTCCTGAATGCATCCTGCATGCAAATAGAGCCAAGCCCAGAATAACAGACAGCTCAGAACTGGGCGTCAGACTTTAGGGGCTACTGGCTAGTCATGAAAAATAAAACCAACAAAGATCCAGTTCATTCTTTTCCCCTCTTCTGAGGGAAAAGAGGCTGGAGCACACCATCAGCTGCAGGAGTTTAACTCCAGAGACACGCCTTGGGTACCACCAGAGTGGCCAGCAGATTTTGGTCCTGTGCCATTTTGTGGCCATCAGCTCATTCCAGATAGCCCTGTTGCCAAGACCTCCACGTAATGGGTAAAGGGAGCTGCTGTCAGAGCTAAAATGATTTATTATAGGCAGTCCTACAGCATGCCCATCTTCCTCCTCTCCAGCCTCGATGGGCACTACTGTTGTTCAAGATAAAGATGGGATCCCTGAAACAGAGGAGAAGGGGTCTTAATAGCTAAGGGACGATAAAGATGTAGGAAAACTCTAGAATATGCAGGCAAAGGAACTGCAGGACCCTAAACCAGCTGCAATCAGAGGAAGCACTGGATGCCCCATGGCTCCTGCCCCAGTCAACTCAGTCCCACCAGCACCTCATACCTTCCAGGAAAGGATGTGGCAGTGCCTGCACAGCTGCAATGTATCACCATACTGCTCCTTCCGTGGGTAACACCTTATGAGCTTGAAGTACATCTTCTTCCAATCCAGCTGTCCTTTGTCGGATAAGATCAGCCGTTTGCGAATCTTAAAGAAAAGAATCATAATTGTAGCAGGGCAAAGAAATAATGATTTGTTCTTTCCAGCTCAATCCTCTCCCTTGTCTAAGTGTCATCCTTGACAGTCCTGTAACAGCTCCCTTACAACACCAAGAAAGCCCCTACTTTGAATATCCAGCTATAAGTAGCTTCCTGATGGGAACAGTCTCACCCAAACTCATTAGGAGGGTCTATTCCTCTTTCATGAGCTTCACTGTAGGAAGCCTGAAATGCTGGGAGCTATTTCACAGTACTTTGGTCACTGTTTCTGGCTGGCAGGACAGCAAGCAGAGTTGCATTTAACAATTTTAGAAGTTGAAGTATTTTACTTCATTGACTCTAAGAGTCAGTGATATATTACATCAGTTTGGGAGACCCATCTTTCTTTTAGGGTTCATTAGTTGCAGAGGCTGGATTTGAATTTACTTGTTAATAGAAATAAATTCCCAACATGATTTCCAAAGTCAGATCTGGAGTGAGTTAGTAAAGCCAAGTCAGCAAAGAAATCTGGCAAATGGTCCCTGAAGTGCAGGAATCTGGTATAAACACCCTAGACATTCACCCATAAACAGAGATTGATTTTTGTTTGCTTGTTTTTATGTTTAGATGATCCCAGATGATTACCAGCTTGCAAAGGACCAGGAATGTTTACCCAAGGACAATGTGGGTAGAAGCAGGGCTGTTTTCCACATAGCATCCTGTCACTCACAAAACAGCTCAGAGGGGATTTCTTGCTCTAAAGGGCAAGAGTACAACTCATCGCTCATGGACCACATCCACAGAGATTCTCTGTGAGGGTGTCAGTCCCTGGGACATCAGGGTGATTGCTGGAGCTTGCCTGCACGTTTTTGCCTGCACACGTGGGATGAGGAGCAACTGCATGACTTGCAGTTGTTCCCACCTGGATTAGGGGTGTAGTTCACTGCATGATTCATTCCTCAGGCTCCTATTTCAGGAATCATTGCTGTGGCATGCAAACCCCTCTATATAAATCATCTTCACAGCCATTCTTGTGTCAGCCCATATTATCAGCTTGCAGCAAAGCCCCTAGATCCAAGACACAGTCAAGTAAGAGTGTTCTACTCCCAAGTGCTCACTTGCTAGTGGGGTACAATAAGCAGCTGGTGGCAGTTTGCATCCCTCCTTGTACCTGTCTGTCAGTGAAGTGGTACTGGCAGAGTTTCTTCCACAGCAGCCTGTCTTCGCTGAGCACCTGCAGGTCAGGAGCCACCTGACCAAGGCTAACCAGGTCCCTCCCATCACTCAGTCGCTGCATGATGTTCAATTGTAAACACAATGGCAAGTCTGTGAAAGTGGTTCCTTTAAAGGCAGGCTGGAAGAGACAGACAAAATTGAGCACCCAGGAAGCTGAAAACCCAAGCAATCCTAGCTTGCAGTAGTTACGTTTTTTTAAGCACTGCTCTTCACACAAAGAATAAAACAGCAGTTCCCTCTTCTGAACAGGGATACATTTTACACAAATACATTAGACCTTCTGCTCCAGAACAGTTTGAGATACCCTCAAGGAAGGGGATGTATATTTTTATTACAATAGTTAGAAGCAGAGTTTCAGTCCACCCCACATCCATACTCTTGAGACTCTGCTCCCAGAAGCACCACCATCAGCTTTCATTACAGCAGGACATTGGCTGCATCATGGTATTAGCTACTAACCATCCAGGTCTCTCCACCATGAGGGAGATCAGCATAACTTCTCAAGTTCAGCTCCACTTACACACATTGCTGAGAATCTCATGCTCTTCTGACATGTGTTTTAGTTTATGTCATCACAGGATCCTGCTGTAACCACAGCAGTGGCCATAAGTACCCACAGCAGGATTTTTCCCGCATGGCTTCCCAGGGCACTGCTGGAGAGGCTAACATTTCCTTTGGGAGCACTTGAAGGACCTGCCCCTTTCTCAGCAGCTGCAGCCATGGTTTTCCAGCCTGTTCAGACACATCAAAGCACACCCCAGCCTAAAGAGCCAAAAGCCACCCCCATCCATCTTTGCTTAGACTACACAGGGTCCAAGATTGTTTTGCAAGTCCACATGGGGCACAGTTCCAGGACAAATGTCCACAATGGATCTGCAGGTCCTGCAGTCAAGGGAAATCCAAGGCATACATAGGAGCAAGACATCAGCAAAGCCCACAACCAGGGCTCCAGTGGCTTCAAAACCAGCCCTGGCCTTATTAAGGCAAACAGCAGCTTCTAGGATTGGGCCCCAACAAAGAAACAATGTTAGACAGATGTGCCAAGTTCATCATTTACCCTGCACAGAGATGCTGCTATTTTAAGTCACAGAGTCACAGCACCCGCCTTGCCACTGGCAGAATTAACTGTTTCAAACAAGCAGCACACAGACCACCATCAGCAGGGGAACACTGCATTGAGGCTGCCTTTAATAATGTGTTCCCATCTCCAGCCATCCCACTCCTTGTGGGACTCCACAAGCACAAATATGTCTAGACAGCAGCAGCCTCACTGCCCAGACCATGCAGCACTGTCTGGTACCTGCAAGGACCACAGCTCTTCAACCAAAGCATCGCTTTTGGCCATCTGCACCAGAAAGACAGCCTGGGTCATATTTTGAGGGAGCATCACTGGATCCTTGGATCATCTCCCACTTACTTGCCAGCCCACACTTTGCATTCTCTTGCACTCTCACTACACAAAAGCTTTTCTAGGGTACAACAGGCAAGAGTAAGCTCAGACACTCCTGAGTCAAAAAAGCCCAAAAACTCTTATTTATGTCTTTTGTTTTGGTTTGTTTTTTTTCCCTTGAAGAAACCAGTGTGACTCAAGCAAATCCTTACAGATTTTCTGAGCCAGGGCCAAAAACTTATCTGCTACTTCTCTTCCCTCATAACTCCTTTCCAGGACTTCTCAAACATTACTTTTTTTGGAGAAAGAACACAGATTAGATCAGAATGCTGTCACTTTCTTCACTTTCTGGACAGAGGTTTTTTTGGTTTGTGTTTTTTTTTAAAGCAGCTCTAGCACACAATGTTTTGCTAGTGTTCTAGGGTTTTTTTAATGGTTTAGGTCTTGAGTGTTGCAAGACATTTCCACCCCCTCTAGAAACACCATGAGTGCACTGTAAGTAACTGGCTGCACATAGCTGAGCTTGCTCTTCCTTTCCCTGAACTCAGCTGGTCTGTCTTGACCTGAAGTTATCTTTCAGTGACATGAAGATTTATTTTTGCAAGCTCTACATCTATTTTATTTATTTTAGAAAAGAGTCTGTAAACCTACACATAAGTATGCACAAAAGGCAGTTCCATTCACAAGGAATATTTTGATGCACTTTTGCCTGCATAAGCAGAAATCTTTCAGATGCTTGTCTGTGTTTTGAGTCCCTAAAGTAGAGGGAAAAACCCATGTTGTGCTACTGAGCTGAACAGCAGGGGGTAGGTCCTGATCTGTGGTGTGCTCAGGGCAGCAGATGCTTGGGTGGAACTGCCCCTGGCAATGCCCAGACACAGCAGAGCCCCCCAGCTCCCTGACCTGCTGTGCCCCAGGAGAAATCCCACCCTGGGCCAGTGGCTCCCCTGCAAGGCAAAGGGAGCTGCAGCCCTTCAAGGGAGGGACACCAGGACAGACAACAGAGGTGGCACAGAGACCAACAGAAGATAAGGCATTGCTGCTTATGCAGCTCCTCCAACCCCCAGGACCTCCCAGAGATGATCTCCTACATCTTGCCTGCATTACTCTAACTGAAGGACTAGAGATTGTTTCCCGGTGTTCCCAGAGAACACAACCATAAAATGATGAAAGCAGGCCCTTCACTGAATCCTTTGCAAATGCCTTTCTAGTTGCCCCACCAGGGAAAAGTGTGATTTTTATATTCCTTTGGTTTGCCCAAATAGGAATTTCACTGTCCAGTTCACTGCAGAAGAGTCCTACAAGAGGTGCACCAATACAGATATCAGCACTGGGGGAAAACTTGAGCATTTCTGTGGAGTAAGTATCCATTTGAGGTGAAAAAAAAAAAAAAGCCTAGATGTGGTCCTGGACAACTAGTTGTTGGTGTCCCTGCTTAAGCAGAGAGGTTGGACCAGATGACCTCCAGAGGTCTATTCCAACATCAAACCTTCTGTGATTCTGTGAAATGGAGTTCAGATTTGATTCCAATGCAAAGTCAGATTAGGAATTTATCAACTAACACATCATTCCCATTCTCAAGACACTGTTGCAAAAACAGATGTTGTCAAAGCAGGACTCATCTGGCTGGAACAGGTAGCTCCAGACTACTGGAAGAAACATTGATATTTTCAGCCAGGAAGCATGAAGCTTCCTACTTGGAAATATGCATTTAATTTACAAATTAAGCAAATATAAACCCCTCAACTACCTGACAAACAAATTTTGAAGGCAATTTCTCAATCCAAGAAAGACCAAGTTGACTTTTCATACTGCAGCTAGTCTGGCTGGAACAGGTAGCTCCAGACTACTGGAAGAAACATTGATATTTTCAGCCAGGAAGCATGAAGCTTCCTACTTGGAAATATGCATTTAATTTACAAATTAAGCAAATATAAACCCCTCAACTACCTGACAAACAAATTTTGAAGGCAATTTCTCAATCCAAGAAAGACCAAGTTGACTTTTCATACTGCAGCTAGTCTCTGAAGACAGGGGGAGAG